CTATAGGAAAATTATCTAGGTCACTCTCTTGGTTTACTGTTTGTATATCCCTTTTAATTATTCAAACATCAGCCGCTTTCTTTTGTACATCTAGTGCAACATCTTTTTCCATGTCATCCTTGTAGCCTGTCATTTGTAAATCCACTTTCAACTCAGTCTCGAAAACCTGTTCTCTTCTATAACACCTTTTAGACACAGCCTCTCCATAGAGGCAGATGTCTCTGTTGAAATTATTAACTTCTGAGTCCATTTTTCAAAAATATCCTTCAATATGTCCAATGTTAGAATATTTTACTCCATTCTGTAATTGTAAGTTGAGTTTATGTGTTCTTCTCCTTTAATTGTAATCTTTAGTTCCCTCTAGTGTCCAATTTTTAAAATCTTATTATGTTTTACTAAAAAGTTCAAAATAAAATATAACACCTTTTAGACACAGCCTCTCCATAGAGGCAGATGTCTCTGTTGAAATTATTAACTTCTGAGTCCATTTTTCAAAAATATCCTTCAATATGTCCAATGTTAGAATATTTTACTCCATTCTGTAATTGTAAGTTGAGTTTATGTGTTCTTCTCCTTTAATTGTAATCTTTAGTTCCCTCTAGTGTCCAATTTTTAAAATCTTATTATGTTTTACTAAAAAGTTCAAAATAAAAGCATTTTCCCATGGGAAGGATTCTTTATAATTAATTCCAGAATCTCATTTCAAATTTATCTGGACCCTTAGTCTGTTTGTAACTTTTTAAAATCAAAGTTTTAATCACCCTACTGCTGTTTATTCCTCCCCCCCATTTTTTAAAAAGTTCTTAAACTTGTAGTTAAAACTTTCTTTCACTACGGATTGAAGGGAAATTCACCCAGTGCTGCCAAACTTGTTGATTCAAAAGTTCCTAATAGCTGAAAAGCAATTAACGAGCAATTTCCAAAAGCGATTAGAAAAGAAAGTATGTGAACTTAGTGTCTTTTCAAAGGTGCCGACCACAGTTTGAGGAAGATGTCTCGCAGAGCTATAAACCCACTGGAGACCACTATCTTGTGGTCTCCTCGCGAGCAGCAGTTGTCTGGAGCACTTGTGGGCGATCTCAAGTCCTTTCCTCGTCTGGAGAGGTTCAAAGAGCCGGTCTACTTGCTGGCTCTTCATTCTTCTCCATGGTTGTTGGCTCCATTTTCCATAGAGCCATATTCAGTCCACCATCTCTTCCTCCAGAAGTCCCCTAATAGAGCATCTTTCCGAACAATATAGAGAAAAGGCCATAAACCTCAAGCAAACTCATCTCACACTGAATCTTTGACTGAGACTATGAACAACTCATCAGAGGCCAAACTTCTCTAACTGCCCATTAAAGAACACACACAGAAAAAGCACTACATTACAAGCATCTAATGTACCCATGCTGTACATTTTAGCCTTCAAGTCATTACAAACTGGATTTCTAAGCTGTAATACAGTACAGTTTTAATGGGAGCCAATTTGGTGTAATGGTTAAGGCACCAGGCTAGAAACTGGGAGACCCATGAGTTCTGCCTTAGGCCTAAAGCCAGCTGGATGACCTTAGGTCAGTCACACTCTCTCAGGAAGAAGGCAACAGCAAATCATTTACAAAAATATTGCCAAGAAAACGGCAAGTCTTACTTCAGGCAGTTGCCAGGAGTCAATACTGACTTGAAGGTAAAAAAAACCCACCACCCAGTTTTAACGGCTAATTTACAAAAACATGATCTCTAATGCAGTAAGGGTTAGAGGTGAGTTAATGTCAATTAAACACAGATTTATAGTCTGCATAGCAATGCCGTAAATATCTTTCTTTGGGATACCACATTTTAGCACGCTATAGGATAATATTGTATTTATAAAGCAAAATGACATAGTGTGCTGTGGAATTTCTGAGATAATGAATGAATGAATGAGTTTTGATTATTTTACAGTGCAAGAGGGGAGCTAAGTAATGCTTCTTTGCACAGCATAAATAAGCCACTTGTGTTTCATACAACCTAATTTTACAGTAACTACTACTGCTTCAGGTCATATACATTTACTGAAAATAAAGAAAAAAATAGAAGCACCTACAATAATGATGGCAAGCACTCATGCACCTTCACTCTAGCATGAAAGCCATGTAACATTACTAAAACAATAAGCATAATATCGCTTTAAGTAAGTATAGAGAAAAGTACATAAAAGTTAGCTGATAGGGAGACAGGTAGTAGACTGAAGTTTCTGGCAGCACTAAAGTGTTGCTATCCAGTGCAGGAGCCAACACAAAAGTACATGGCTCAGTAAAGTGCTGACTACACTTTGGACTCCTATTCTGCTTTGGCAATGAAGCACAATAAGGGTTCTGTCCTCAATGTGAGTCTGGGGAAAGAGAGACGTGGGCTGGGGAATGCATCTTTTGGCCCCTTGGATTTTCTGCAGTCAGTTTTCTGATCCCACCAAATGAGACATTCTCTGCAGATTGTCTCCTCCTGCTTCCCCTGCCCACCTCTTATGTGAGAGTAGAATAAGAGAAGAGATCAGGTCCTCTTATTCTACTCTCACCCTGCTTCTCTTGCCAGGGGTGCAGACAAAACAGAGGATGGGAACAGCTCTACTCATCCTTTCCCACAAGATTACACATTGTAGAGCTGCTACCTCCACGGTACAGCTGCCCAACTTCCTTAGCCTGTGGCATACCTGTGCTGGAGTTTCATGGGGTATTCTTGATATGTGTATAGTTAGGGTAGACTGCAGATGGACTGCAGACATGTAACAAGGTGATACAGGTATGTAAAAAGCCATCTGTAACTTAGGTGCTACAGCCATGGGGAAATGGTGAGCAGAGGTACCGTGGGGGGATGTATCTCTGTAGGCAGAACCTCTGCAGTGAAGGACACTTTCTATGGGGGAAAGCAGGTCTCTTTGGTGCCAGGAGAAGGGGAGACAGGAGAGAACAGCAGCTCCTTTGCTGACAGTTCTCTGATCCTACCAAGATCAAAGAACTGACAGCAGAAGATCCACTTTCCTCCCTTTTCTCTACTGGGAGATTGGGTGGGGGAGTAGGACTTTTTAGTGCTGGCACCAGAAAGACTTGCTTGCTCTTTTTCTCCCACTTCTCTTCCTGCACCCATGGTTTGTGGGAGCGATGGCTTTTAGCTAAGTGGAAGACTGCTGATTCTCCCAGTGCCAAAGGTAATGGCCCTAAAAAACAAAGGCCAGTGATTTTCTGTGTGTGTATGTGTGTACAGTAGCCTTGGATGGACAATAGCCTTATTCCTAAATCTATCACAGAATAATTTGCTGTAAACAGACTGCTTAGATTAAGCAGCAGACAAAAAATGTTAACACTCCATTAAAGCATAAAAATTAAGATATTAAATATGAAAATATGTTAAAAGGTCTGAGAATAATGTAGACAGCAGGCATGCTTCACTGGAAAAGGCAGAATCAGGAAGCCCCCACTGAGACTGGCTACATGGGCAGGCACCAGTTGAATTAATTATGAATATTCAAGGATACCGTAGCAGCTCTGTCAATTGCTAAATGACTGCATGTGCATGAACAACAAAGTACGATCTTTTAAGACAGTGTTATGTGCCCAACATTTAATTAACCAATGATCACAAGAATTCCATAAAAGGACCTAGAAACTACATTAATGTTATCTAGATCAAATTTTTAAAAAGTATGTCAACTCTTTCCTGATGAAGAACCATGAAACAGATCGACTAGTATAACAACAAAATCTTCAACATGTAATTACAGAATGTAACCCTAGTTTGATTTATTATTCAGCTCAGTAATATTACAGTTCTCATAAAAGTAAGGTCTCCTTCACGTTGAGCTCACCTTCTGGTGATCCAGTCACGTAATTCTTGGCAAACTGGTTTACCTTCTTCTAGGATTTTTTTAAACTTTATTCATTTCTCAGTCTAGCTTATAGCCCCAGTAGTTCTGGTTGTCTCCCTTCTTCATACTAATCAGGACTGACCCTCCTTTGCTTTTGGAGATTTGCCACGGTAGAGAATAAAAATTCTAATTAGAAACTCATTTTGCTCCCTTTTTCGTATTTCCCTAAATTGAGGATATTGGAATGGCAATGAAAAAAGAATGGATAATTTGGCAATCTAGTAAAATGGGCACTCATTTTAATCAATCTAAGGAAGTAATTCACAAAGTTTCAGGTGTTAAAATATGCTCAACTGGCACCACCTAGTGGTAAGACCCATAATATAACATGCATACTCTAGTCCAGTGTTTCTCAACCTTGACAATTTTAAGATGTGTGAACTTCAATTCCCAGAATTCTGGGAATTGACACATTTCAAATTTGCCAAGGTTGAGAAACACTGCTCTAGTCTTAAACTATTTCAAACTGTGGCAGTAAAACCTCCTCATCTGCACTGAGCCACAAGCATATGTAGCAGTTACATGTGCAATAAGTAAGTAGGAACTGTCATCTCAGAAGAAGTGGCAATGATATTCTGCTATTACCACTGTATTATCATACTTCACTCAAATGATGAGAAATAGAAATAGGTAATACTTCAGTGCAAACAATCTTTGTTTAGCACCTTGTATAGACTTTTAAAGGATGGGGAACAGAACAGAATTCTGTAATCTATATGTTGTACTAATTCATGCAGTTTTCTGGGATCAATCCTACATGCAGGAATGGGACTGCTGTTTCACTGAAGTCCTCTATTGAGGGAATTTATCTATCATGGTCAAGTGATACTAAAAGCCTCTGAGAAGTCTAGAAGGATCAACAGAAATCCCTTTGTCCCTCTCCTGGTAAATATAATCTACTAGGTTGACCAACGCTGTTTTAATACCAAACTTAGGCTTGATACTAGATTGAAATGATCTACTGGATTTTTTTAGCACTATTTAATGAATTACAGTTATCTTCTCTTGTTAATAATTATGAATTTATTTGTGTTCCATCCTGATCCATCCTTGGAAGATGTATGTAAAATTGTGTGATTCATCCCTGGAAAGTTCTGTTTTTCCTCCCTGCAACAGATTGATTCCAGGAACACTTTTATAATTTCCAGAAGCAAATCTTCCAGAAATAGAGGGAACCATTCCCACAATGCTTAACCTGTTCTGACCATTAACATACTTTGGGGATGAACCAAGAAGATCTGCTTAACCTATAGCAAGAATTTTTGGAAAAATCACAAAGGATCAAATAAAACTTGTTATAAATTGAGAATAGTTTTCAGCAAAATGATTGTATCACAACAGTATCTTTGCAAATATTATGCACTTTAATTAAATGGTTTCCATGTTTTTAAATATAGCGATTTATCCATGTTATCTTGAATTAAATAACCTTTTTTATGTTCTTCTCTGGACATATATCTTATTGTACACCAAACTGATCGATGTTCAGAGAAATGGATTTGGAACCAATCAATTTGCAAACAATTTCAATTAGGAGGTGGTATAATATATAATGTATCTTAACTATTAGCTATTCTTTCCTGATTGTTGGAGATCTTCCCTTCCTGTCTCACCCATATTCAATATTTTCTTCTGAACTTTGAGGGAGCAGAAAATCATTTTCTCCAACCTTGTTATACACAATCCTATATTCAGTGTAAAATGATGAGACAGTGATACCACTCCAGGCACCATACTGGTCCTGAGCAAAGAGAAGAAAAATAATGGACTGCAAAAGAAAGGGAAGAAAAGCCTATTATATTAGCTTGCTAAATGTATCTAATGACACATTATTTGAGTTCTTTAAGCAAATACATATTGATTTGCAAAATGAATAACTGCAGTACAATTCAATTCAATTCGAATGCATGTATCATGTACCAGAGCTTCTTGGGGCACAATCTGAATCCTTATTTTCTTTCTGTAAACTTTAAAAACACATACAGTCATCTGTCACTAACATGATTTTTGTGTGTGCGCCTTCAAGTCAGTATTGACTCCTGGCAACCGCCTGGACAAGTCCTTGCAATTTTCAGAACTGGTTTGCCACTGCCTTCTTCCAAGGGCTGAGAGAGAGTGACTGGCCCAAGGTCACCTAACTGGCTTTGTGCCAAAGGCAGAACTAGAACTCACAGTCTTCCAATTTCTAGCCTGGGGCCTTAATCACTACACCAAACTGGCTCTCAATGTGAGTTTTACCTGGTGGTAAATACTCAAATACAAGCCTCCACTGTGAACAGTTAAACTAACCAATCAACAAAGAATTCCAAGTAGCCTTCATTTGGTTTCTCCAGCTTTGGTGTTCCCATTTCAGCCTTGACTCCAACCAGGATGTCTGTGTGTCCCTGTTAAAACAGAGATAGATATGTTTTCCAAATTATCTTACAGACATACAGTATATTTCCACATGAGTCAGCATTATCTAGCACTTCTCCTCAAAACATGAAAACTTTGAAAATGAAAAAGACAATTTTAAACATTTTCAGTTCCTTCAGATAACCAACCAATTAAAACAACGTATTATGTAGACTTGTATAGCTGAGTGCTGCTAATAATAAACTGCCATACTAGCATTGTCAGTTCAATAACACAACCCTATCTATCTATTTGCATGGCTGTTAAGCAAATACTTAGGCATTTTCACACATCATACAACACTTAGTAAGCAAAGAATAGGCAGTTAGTGCTCTCCAAATGGTTTCAGTAGAAGAGAATATATGTAGCTCAGAGTTGAACTGTGGAGTTCTTGGTGTTCTCTGAGCTTGGTTGTTTGCTTGCAGACGTTTCATTACCCGACTAGGTAACATCATCAGTGCTAGTGAATGTGGAGTTTGCTCCCTGTTTATATGCAGTAGCTTGCCCTGCCAATGTTGGTGGGGGTGCGGTTTTCTCCTTGGTAGTTCCTTGATTAAGGTATACCTAATCTGCCCCTTCCAGCATTTACCCAGCAAAAAGTATGCAGCGTTGTCTTATTGGGAGCTAGCTCACAGCACCTTTATTTGTAAATAAAATCCAGGTTATTCCTGTAGCAATTTCCTCTGCTTGTCAATTAGCATAAATACAATTTTCTAATTGAAAATAATACTTCATGCATCTGACCAAGTGCATTCTGACCTACAAAGCCATGTATTAGTTTTTAACCTAAATATGGAATTCTACAGTAGAATTCTTAACCAATGAACAACCATGTACTGATATTATAAACAGAAACATTATTCTTCAAATAAAATCAAAGAATATAACAGCAAGGCATAACAGTGTCTGTTAGATGTACTTACAAGTTTTACTCTAGCCGACCCACTTGTATTAGATATCACATCTGTTTCCACTTCCGTACACCTATAATCTTCACAGCCACGGCCATCAACTCGAAGATCTTCCTACAATACGCATTACAGTGCTGTCACATAATGCCGTCAGTCTTGTCAAATTATGCATTATTTAAACAGAAGGATAAAATTCACTTAGAGAAGCAAATATATGTACCACTCATGAGTTTATGGATTAATATAAGAGAAATCCAAGGAAAGTTTGTCTCTTATCATTACCTACCTTTGCAATCAGCCCAGTCATTATTTAATTAGGCCTAGTTCAAACAGTCAACTCAAGCATGATTTAAAAGCATAATGATCATACTATATCAAGCCTCAAGGCTGTATTGCACCCTTCCTTTCCTCTCCTGTCTATGCAAGGTGAGAAAAATGAAAGTTGCTTTCTTGTAAGAACAAACTACAAACTCAGGCAACTCATGAAAAATTACCAAGATGTTCAACTAACTTGTTCCTGATTTGTTTTCAGTATTTTCTTTGTTAGAAGAGGCTTCTATTTTTTTTCCAAATGTATATGTAATACAAAACTATGGTTTCTTTAAACGATTCCCTTAATCTTACTGTACTTGCAAAGGATGCATAGGTACAATATGGAAGCTCAAAGCATCATAGAGCTCATTACCGTATCGATATCAGAATCAGTAATGAAGAACCTATGGTCCTTCAGATGTGTTTCAGTCACAACTTATATATAATGCAGCTACAGTGGTTGGTTATAAGGGATTCTGGGAGTTGTAGCTCAGCTGTTCTAGGAAAAATGATTTCCTACCCAATTTAATTCATGGTTGAGATATTACCACATGAACTGCATCTTAATTAAGGCTGCTGACCAGACCAATTATGTAAGTCTTTTTAAAACGTCTATGCTTCACATTTACTGGTTGAAATATTTTATTATTTCAAGGACGATTAATGTACAATGCATAAAGCACACTTTGTTATTACTTCCCTTCTTAAATTGTCTTGCTTTTGACAATCAAAGCCTGCTCAGACCCATGAGGCTAATGCCATTTTTAATTAGACTTAAGAAACAAAACAATTACTGTTTTCTTTGAAAAATATGCAAATATGTAGAATTAAGGATCACCTGATGAATTTCCGTGGAACATGTAAATGTTAACTACAAGAGTTCTGCTAGACAAAGTGTAAGTTGATAACCCTAGCCAGAAGCACAACAGCAATGCCCAATAACTTTCTAAAAGTTATTAAATCTATCAGTCTCTTTGAAGCTATAATTGCCTACATTGTGCCCTTTGTTAGGTGACTCTGAGCAGATTACATTTCCATGTATATTTTTATTATAGCCACCCACTCCAACAGACTCTGGGCAGCTTACAAAATTTAATACAAGACAAAACAAAATCATAGACAAAAACAAAACAGCCTGGACTAAAAACAGCCATTAAAACACAGCATGACAGCCTCCTCCTCCCACCAACATATCCACTCCAGGCTTGGGACCAAAGCCAGGTTTAAGGGCTTTTCAGAACCACAGGAGAGTGGGTGCCATCTATATCTGTGGGGGGGATACTGTTCCAGATGGTGTGGGCCATGACAGAAAAGGCACACTTCCTAGGTTCCACAAGATGGCAACATTTAATAGAAGGGATCTGGAGTGTACCCACTCTCCTGCAATGGGAGAGAGGTGATTCCTCAGATCACCAGACCTGACATTATGGAGGATTTTAAAGGCAACAACCAGCACCTTGAATTGCACCTGGTAGCTAACTGGTAGCCAATGCAGCTCACACAGCAGTGGTGACACACGGACACAATGAAAAGTGCCCAATACTGCTCACACTGTTACATTTTCAACCAGCTGTTGCTCCTGGATGGTCTTCAAGGACAGCTCCATGTAGAGCGCATTGCAGTAGTCCGGCCATGAGGTAACCAGGGCATGAGTGACCATCTGCAGGGCCCCTCATTTGAGGAAAGGGTGCAACTGGTGCACAAGATGTACCTATGCAAAGGTCTCCAAGCAGTACCTGTGAGTCTAGGAGGACCCCCAAGTTGCACATAAATCTCAAATGGGGAAGTGCAAACTTAGCTGCAGCTCAAAATGTTAGCTGTCTCTGTTAGGAAGCACTACCTCTAGAATAGTTTTAAATTATATCAAAACTTTATGTTTGCTGCTGGAACTGCAATTGGGGAACAATAGTTTCAGTTCAACCCTGGCAAGACTGAGTGGCTTTGGGTTTGGGGGATCCAGAAACTTCCCATCTTTGGTGCTGGATGCGGTGGCACTGCCCCAAACAGGCCTGGTGTACTACTTGAGGGTCCTCCTGGACTCATAACTCCTGCTCAATAAGCGGGTGGCAGTCATAGCTAGAAGGGCCTTTGCACAACTTTGGGTTGTGTGGCAGTTGTGCTTGTTCCTGGATCGGGAGACTACTCTCAGTCACTATTGCCCTGGTCACCTTCTGAATGGATTACTGCAAAGTACTCTACATGGGGCTATCCTTGAGGAGCATCCGTAAGCTTCAACTGGTGCAAAATGCGGCACCCTAGGCAGTTTACACCTCTGCTCCTGATTGCTCCCGGTTGCCAGTTTGCTTCCAGGTTCAATTCAAGGTGCTGGTAATGATCCATAAAGCCCTACATGGCAATGGGGCTGGGTTATTTGAGGTACTGACTCTCCCTGGTTACATCTACCTGTCCTGTCAGGTCTGGCAGAAGGGGCACGTTGTGGGTCCCATTTGCTAAGGAGTTTCATCTGTTGGGACCCACGAGGACAGCCTTTTCTGCCACGGTACCTGCCCTTTGGAACATAATTTCCTCCAAGGCAAGATTGGCCCCGACCCTACTGACCTTCCATTAATTGTTTTAATTAGTTTTAATGGTTTTCTTTTCTTTTTTTTTTGCTGTTATTATTTTGGTTTAGTTAGTTGTGTTTTGTTCCTTGTTATTGTTAACTGCATGAGCCGCCCAGAGTCACGAATGTAAGATAGCTATATAAATTGAAGAAATAAATAAATAAATTCGCACTCATTCGTGCAAGTCACATAATCTGACTATGTGGAACAATTATACACACAAACGACAGAGGTGTTTTCAAAAGAATGAAAACTATACTAGCGTTATGATGGGGCACATCCGCTAGAATCACGTACTGTTTTCACAGACTCAAGACATCAAGTAAGAGGCTTATAAAAGAGCCCTTTCGATCCCTAACCCCCGCTCCCCGGCCCTTTACCTGGACACCATGCATAATATAAACTTTCTCCGCTTCACTCAGCACTACAGACGCCATAATGATCAGTCCTGCATGCAGACCCTCCACTCCAACCACCGAGAGCCTCTCACCCGACTGTCAGAAAAATGCGCCCAACACAGCCATAGAGTTCCGTTAGTCTCGCGCCTTCGCAGCGCCTTCGCAGCGCCTCCTGATTACGTCACTCGCATTCGGCCTCCCCGTCGCCGCCCTTTGGTTTCTTCTCGTCCTGTTACGGATGCGTAGAGAAGGCATCCTTACGTATTCCCTCTGGGTGACTCGTTCCTTGCTCGTACGTCACGGATGGCGAGGGAAGCTTAACGCTGGGATTTCCCTTCTTCAGTGCAGTTCTTTTCTGGAGAAGCGGGGGAGCACTTCTGCTAGACCGAACGGAGGAAAAAAAGAGAATGTCATAGGACTTCTTCCCGATCCTAGGTGTGTTTAGTCAGGGGATCACTTACGCGACTTACGTGCTCCCAGGTAAATGTACGCTGGACTACAGTTTTATTTGTGAGTACACTATGAGCAAATTTATGAGTAGATTTGTGTGCAGACAGAATAGACTGAAGATAATAAGTTCTCCCAGCTGGCACTATAATCGGTATTCTTGATATCCCGAATACAATCGTTTTCAGAATTTAAAATTTTAAACTTAATAGTTGCAATGCAGAAGTAATAAATCTCATATATGATCTATACGATACAGCCTTTTGAATGATACCCTGATTGAGTGATAAGTATTGGATATGGATTCAGTTTATGAAAAATATGCTCAAAATAATGGACTAACGCACCTGATTTCTTTTCCATACTCTTATGTATAATATCTCAAAATACTAACGAATTAATGGAAATACTTCTCTCTTTCTTTGCAAGATCACTTTTGATCAATCATAGCCATTTTAAAGTTTCTAAACAGTAGCCCATGTTAGTTTTTGCAGCAAAAAAAGGTCACTATGGAACTTAAAAGATAATAAATGTTTTAGAAAAAGCTTTCATGGATTATAGTTTATTTGGTTAAAAGTGTGGAATATTGACCTGAGAAAGATGTATTATATATCCACATCCATGGTTATGGGTCCACAATTTATAGTTAATCAATTTAAGACAATCTTGCCTCCTTCACCCAGGATTAGATATGTTTGTCTAGATATGTTTTATATATATATAAATATAAATATATATATATATAAATATAAATATAGATAGATATTAGATATGTTTGTCTAGATTAGATAGACATGTTTGTCTCCATTATCACAAATCTGTCTCTTAAAATGCCCTCCCCCAGCTTAAGGGAAAATTGTCTGAAGTAAAATAACTATTGTTCAAGTAAATATAGTAACTATAGTAAGGCTATTCTTTTAACTAAACTATGTACACATTTGTTTCAATAGAACTTTCCAATAGAGTTCCAGCCAAAAGAATTGCAAATTGGAATGAAATACTTAAAATGCATGTATGTAATGGAACACGTGCATTTTGAGTATGTGTAATGTATATATTCTTGTTTTTGCATAGTTTCTAGAGTTAACATTCCTGCAAGGGAATCAGTATCAGTAGAGTGATGACACCCAAGTTTTGTAAGAGGAGAGCCATGTCAACCTGTGGTGGGAAAACATCAGAATGAGTCTGCTGGCACCTTTTGTTACTAACAAATTTTATTAAAAGGCACACATTTTTGTGAGCTGGAGCTCACTTCATCAGATGCATTGGAACATCCTACCCCCGGAGATGCAATTAGCCCCCACCCTCCTGGCCTTCCATAAGGTTTTGAAGACCTGGTTCTGCCACCTGGCCTGGGGTGGAGTGAGAATACCTCAAGCATGGGGATGGCTAGCCCCATAGAGGCCTCTGCCTTCAGCCTCAGGTTTTCATCCCCTTGGTCTCTCCTTCTTCTTTTTAGTTATGTTTTAA